AGTTGACGTCACATGAAATGCCTAATGAACTCTTGAATTTATATTTAGGCAATACCGAAGAATTTGAACACTTCCGTACCTACCTTAGATTATACAACAATATGTTTGCATTTACTTCCCTTGGGGTGCACTATGACAAAGTACTAGCAAAAAGAAACCAAGGAATTTATACATTTAGAGTACAAGGTCAAATGTATCACTTTATAAATGATTTAATTCCAACAAATCGGCGACCAAGAAATTTACAGTTGTATTTTTACGATGAGAATGCAGAAATATTAAAACGAATGGCTTCGTCGGATATACTTCGACAATCAATTGTTCAGAATCAAATGAACATACGAAAGATAAATCCTTATTGTATCTTCTTGAAATCTCTAATACATATTCCAGAATTATCAAACTTTTATATTGCATTGAGATGTGGCTCTGGCTTAGATCAATGAGTATATAACCTGCCAACTGTGTCAGAAGTAGCAGCATTATGGCTAGAACAAGAAATGAGCAATAATAGTTTTACACCCCATATTCGAATTTATACTCACAGTAACAAAAACCAATTAGTAAATTACTATTATGGTTGCTCTGATCCTTTGCAATATCCACTTTTATTTCCTTATGGTCAAAACGGCTGGCATTGCGGTATTCCAAAAATCGTACAACCTAGAATTAAATTGAGAAAGCGAGCTTACTATGAGACTGAGCAGCTTCCGAGTGTCTCTAACATGTGTTCAATTGATGGACTACTTGATATGGAAGCGGATGTCCTGCAAAAGGGGAAACGAAAAAGAAATAATGTTTCTTGTCGTGAATACTACTGTTACAAACTCCAGATGAGAGACAATGAGGAAAACGGAGTTTTACATTCTGGTAGATTATTTCAACAATATTCAGTTGATGAATTCATAAAAGTAGAAACTCAAAGATTAGATTTTGCCTCATTTAACCAAGATTTATTTCGGATTGATGTACTACAAGGACTTTTAGATATCTTGAGACTTGGCGAAAGAGAAGCTTCTAAGATAGGAAAACAAAACTTTCTTCCAACAAGTTTTACGGGTGGTCCGAGAGATATGCGTCAACGTTATATGGATGCTATTGCGTTAGTACAGCATTTTGGAAAGCCTGATATATTTCTGACCATAAAATGTAATCCCTCTTGGCTTGAAATAAAGGAACATTTGCTCCCAACAGACGAAACTCAAAATAGGCCTAATTTAATTAGTCGAGTATTCAGAGCAAAGGTAGAAGAGATGAAAACAGATATATTAAAAAGAAGCATATTTGGAAAAGTTGCCTCCTTTGTGTACAGTTTAGAATTTCAAAAACCCGGTCTTCCACATGCCCATTTTCTTGTTATACTTACTGATGACTACAAATTATTAACGCCCGAGGCTTATGACAAATTTGTTTGTGCTAAGTTGCCTGACCCTGATACATACTCATACTTACATAAGCTTGTCGTTAAACACATGATGCATGGGCCTTGTGGTCATTTAAATCCCACAAATTTATGTATGAAAAGAAATGAGTGCAAATTTAAGTACCCCAAGAGTTTCGTTGATGAGACGACGAAAGGAAAGAACTCATACCCAATTTATAGAAGACGAAATACTGGTAAATCTGTGAAAGTTAGAAAACAATTTCTTGATAACTCATGGGTTGTTCCCTACACAACCCCTATCTGCTATGTAAATACAATTGCCATATAAATGTAGAAGTTTGCTCCGATATTAAAGTTGTGAAATATATATACAAATATATCTGTAAAGGACATGATAAGATATCATTTGGCTTACACGAAGATAACACAAGTATACAAATAGATGAGATAAAAGAGTATCAATCTGCTAGATGGGTGTCACCTTCAGAAGCTATGTGGCGCTTATTTGCGTTTCCTATTAGTGAAATAACTCCGAGTGGTTACCACCTCCCATTACATCTTGATGGACTACAATTTGTCTCTTTTAAAAAAACGACACAATAGATAGTATCGTGAAAAATCCTATGATCAAGAAGACGATGCTGACAGAATTCTTTTTGATGAATGAAACAAACAAAGATGCTAAAGAGTTTAAATTAATGTATAAAGATTTTCCACAACACTTCGTATGGTCATCTAGCTATAAAATGTGGACTCGACGATAACAAGGTCACGTTATTGGCCGGGTTGTAACATGTCATCCAACAGAGGGAGAAAGATATTACCTTAGATTATTACTAATGAATGTGAGAGCACCAAAATCATACAAAGATCTTCTAACGGTAAATGAAATATGCTGCGACACATTTAGAGAATCTGCAGAAAAAAAAGGGTTGTTACATTGTGATAACAACTTGATTGAATGTATGTTAGAGGCTGCATGTTATCAAATGCCTTATAGTTTAAGACGTTTATTTGCTACATTATTAGTATACTGTAGCCCTGACAATCCAAGAGAACTACGGGAACAGTTTGAAGATTCAATGTCCGAAGATTTTAAAATCCTAGCCAATATACAGCAAAAGATATCCACATCGCTGTTCTGAATCACATCAATGATATACTACATTCTATGGGTCGTGATATTAATGAATTCAATCTTGTTTCAGAAAATATTACATCTTCGAAAATGGCAAATGAAGCGAAGGAAGCATATTTCGAAAGAAACATCATTGTGGGTAACGAAGATTTGTTGTTACATAGAAAATTAAATACATAACAGAAAATAGCATACGACATAATCTTGCAAAGAGTATTTGTCAATGAATCAAGAGCATTTTTCATTGATGGTCCTGGAGGAAGTGGTAAGACGTTTTTATGCTGTGCCTTATTAGCAACTGTGAGATCTAAAGGATTTGTAGCATTAGCAACAACAACTTCTGGAGTTGCAGCTTCGATCCTTCCAGGAGGACGAACAGTTCATTTACGTTTTAAATTTCCGATTAATATCGATGAAAAATTTTCTTGCAATATTAGCAAGCAAAGCTCATTGGCATCTTTGATTCGTGATGCAAAATTGATTGTGTGGGATGAAGTATCAATGGCAAAAAAGAACATGATTGAAGCTTTAGATTCTCTCTTGAAAGATATAATGAACACAAATGTGCTTTTCGGCGGAAAAGTTGTTGTGTTTGGAGAGGATTTTAGACAAACTCTTCCTGTGGTTCGAAGTGGAAAAAAGGAAGATTTCATTCGAGAAAGCATATTGAACTTCGAAATATGGAACGAACTTGAAAAATTGCAATTATCAGAGAATATGCGTGCCAAAACTGATCCCTCTTTTTGTGAATATTTGATGCGAATTGGAAATGGAAAAGAAAAAAAAAACATGGATAATAAAATAGAAATTCCAAAGTCTTTCATTGTTCCTTATATTACTGAAAAAGAATCTTTGGGTCTTTTATTTAACATAATATATCCTAATTTGCACATGTCTCTTCACAATTCTTCTTTTTTAACTTCGCGCGTTATTTTGACAACAAAAAATGACTTTGTTGATGAAATAAATGATAGACTTATAGCTCAATTCCCTAAAGAAGCTAAAACATTTATTGCAATGGATGAAACTGTTAAACCAAATGATCAGAGCCAGTTTGAGGGTTTTTTACATTTATTGAACCCTGCTGGTTTGCCTCCTTACAAATTAATCTTGAAGGAAAATTGTCCTGTCATGTTGCTGCGAAATTTAAATCCTTGTGAGGGTTTATGCAATGGTACACGACTGATATGCTGTGATTTTAAGAGTCGTGTTATATGTGCTAAAATTGCAAGTGGTGATTTTAAAGATACGCATGTATTTATTCCCAGAATACCATTGTTATCTTCAGATGATGAGAAGCTACCAATCCCATTTAAAAGAACTCAATTTCCAATACGCCTGTGTTTTGCAATGACGATAAATAAAGCGCAAGGGCAAACATTAAATTATGTTGGTATTTATTTGCGTGAGCCAGTATTTTCTCATGGCCAGCTATATGTTGCTTTATCCAGAGCAAAGAGTTCAAGTTGTATTAAAATATTAATCCGACCACCAACCGTAGATAACGATGATGACCATTCTACATATAACATAGTGTATGACGAAATCATTCAAAAAGCACTTCTATAAGTCTGTAGCTTTCTTCTTTATATTCCTGGTTTAACCTTATATTCTTTATTTCAATAATTTTCTTGAGACTTGAGATAGTTTCTCTGCAATTTACTATGTGCTAAATAAGAGTTGACTTGTGTATCTACAAATCCTTCCTAAACTTTTACTCATCTGATATAGTTTTTGGATGCCAAATATACAAATCAGAATATTTACATTGTGAAACTTTCCAAGACCAATAAGTCAAAGCATTCATCTTTACAAATCTATAAATACAATAGCAACTTGCATATTTATGTGATTTTTTTCCAACTCTGTGAAGCTGACCTGACTGACATTTACATCAAAAAAAAATATATATTTTTAACTCCGCCTGTGTTCAAATTATATTGTAACACAGCCGGTCCCAAGCCCGGATAAAGGAGGACGGTCTATTGTATATTGGTAATAACAATTGTATCTTATTTCTTCATTTGAATGTACTTACTGATTTCCTCTTATAAATTTTTATACATCACTATTCAATATGTTGGCGAAAAAAATTTGTTGTTCGTTTAAGAAACAAAATGAGAAATAAATTAAAAATTTATTCATCTTCTATTTTGATGTCTTTATATTCCTTTACTGCTTACTGATACGTATAATCTGTGTTGCAGGTATTTTAAAAAGATCTTCTAAAGTAAAATGTTTTCACAAGTTGGTACTAAAAGGTACTGTCACACTAACCAAATTTTGATATAGTAATTTCATTTTCTACCTTAGAGATTGTTTCATTATTTGATTTTATATGGATATCTTTGCATATTTCAATGATGTGATTAGTTTTACTACTGGAAGTTGTCCAATTAATCTTCTTTAATGTCTTTATTATATTCATTCAACTATTATGAATACATACAAATAATTGACATCATATATATTTGACAGAAACTAAATGACCCAGTATTATTTGTTGCGTCATAATACACGAGTTAATGCACAACTGTCGAATTGGTCTGGCAGCAAAGGATAAGCTTTTGAAAATATTTACATAGCTGCTGCAGGGGGCTGTTATGGAATTAAACAACCCTCAGGTTTCCTCTTTCTCCTGAAACGTCTGTGCTAATTTTGATTGCTCAAGAAATTGAAATCATAGCCCTCTTCAACCTTGGTGTGAATAATAACAAGTATGTTCTCTTGTGGGTGATTATATTATGGTAGTAGAATCGCAAATCAGTTTTCCGTAAGCACCTCTAACTAACGAAGATAGACAACACTGATTTTGTCCAGCCGTCAAATAATCTATGCCTTTCTGATGAACTTCTTGCATTGGCACCCCATAAGTCAAATAGCTTTGAATTTCTTGCCATCTTTCATTGGTCTTCAAATGACTGCATCTTTCTAGAGAAAATTTCTATGTTTTTCACAAGTCATTCATCTCCAAATTTCACCTTATAAAACAAAATAGGTATCATTTGTTTTATGGTACTTACTCGCTTTGTTCTTGAACTGTCTGGTCATGCTACATGGTTTGGTAATATTCTTCTCTATTGAGTTGTAGCTTGTAGGTGGGATATTCATATAGACTGGCTTCAGTAATTAAGGTGAATTTTTAATTTTACTTCGCTTATGTGTAGCACAGGTTGATTTCAGACAGCTACAATCTTGATTTTGTCGAGCGAAAATCATTTAAAGTGCACGAAATTAGCTTTAACAAAGTCATGTGCTTATTCACTCGACAAAATCATATAGAGTGCACGATTCTGTCACAAAATGAGCATTTCTCTTCTGTTTTTCTACTGATTCCTTTGACTCTGTCTCTTCTATATCCGATGGTCATATTTCTTCTTTTTAAAAATTTCCATCTTTCTCAATTTGTGTCTCTCTATTTGGTTTTTTCTTACTCTACTTCTTAAGATTTGATCCCTGCATTTTGGAAGTAATTACTTCTCTTTCTTCCTGTGTTGCTTCTGGGTTTAAATAGGTCTAAGGAATCACCAATTGCTTTCTAGGTTTTAATTGTTTTTCTTTGGCAGCTTCACTTTCAGTTTGCCTGTTATGTGTTTGTGAAATTGCATGTCACAAAGGGAAAAGAAAAGAGTAATTCAAAGTTGAGAGAATTGCATGAAAACGAAATTACAGAGCTGAATTAAATTGAATTGAAAAAATGTTGTTTTCTTGACAATTTAGTTATTCGTAACTCAGCTAATGCATCATCTTCTAGGGCTAGCAGTATTTTTACGAAGCAGGATTCTCCTGTTATAAGAGGGCTCGTTGCTTTGTTGTGAAACAGGTTAGGTAATTTTGTTGTCACATATAAATAGTATAGAATTATAT